CCACAGTAGTAGATATGATAATCATCTGAGCTGAATTTGCCCATTCCTGTCCATTTTAGTTCACTGATGCCCAGGATGTCGATGTTTATTCTTGCATCTCCTGTTTGACCACCTCCAGCTTCCCAAGGTCATAGATCTTACATTCCAGGTTCCTGTGCAGTTTTTTTTTTTTTCCAGCATTGGACTTTTCTTTCACTTCCAGGCACATTGGACTTTCCTTTCACTTCCAGAACTGTACGCAATACTCCAGGTGCAGCCTTACCAGCGTTTTATGCAGTGACATTATAATGTTGGCTGTTTTATTTTCAATCCCCCTTTTAATGATACCTAGCATGGAATTGACCGCCTTCACTGCTGCCGCACACTAGGTTGACACTTTTATCAAGCTGTCCACCAGCACACAAAGTTCTCTTTCCTGATCCGTCGCGGACAGCTCAGAACCCATTAGCTGATAAAGTTTTGATTTTTTTTGCCCCAATGTGCATTACTTAACATTTTCTTATATTCAAATGCTCTTGCTAATTTGACTTCCATGCTCCCAGTTTGGAGAGATCCTTCTCTCCAAACAATCCCTTCTGGTCTTTGCCACCCGGAAAAGTTCCATGTCATCTACAAACTTGGCCACCTCACTGCTAATCCTGGTCTCCAGGTCATTTATGAACAGGTTGAAAAGCACTGGTCCCAGGACAGATTCCCTTTTTAAAGATTAGCGTGACATTTGCTGTCCTCCAGTCCTCTGGCACTGTGGCCATTTTAAGGAACAAATTGTATATTTTAGTTAGGAGATCAGCAACTTCATTCCTCAGTTCCTTAGTAACCCTTGGATGGATGCCATCTGGGCCCAGTGACTTATTGATCTTCAGTTTATCAATTAGGTATAAAACATCATCTCTTTTGACCTCTATCTGATTTAATTCATTAGTCAGGAGGGGCCCTTCGGGCAGCAGAATCTGCCCAAGGTCTTCTGTCATGAAGACAGATGCGAAGAACTCACTTAATTTCTCTGCAATCATCAAGTACCCCTTTACCTCTCCTTTACCTCCCTCATCATCCATAAGGCCAGCTGCTTCTCTGGCAGGTTTCCTGCTTCTAACATTTAAAGAAGCTTTTATTATTCCCCTTTATATTGCTGGCCATATATTCCTCAAAATCTTTCTTTGTCTTCCATATCATCTTCTTACATTTCTTTTGCCAGAGTTTGTGTTCCTTTTTATTTTCCTCATTTGGGAAGGATTTCCATTTATGGAAGAACCCCTCCTTGCCCTCCAGAGCCTCTCTAACTCTGCTCGTCAACCATGCTGGCACCCTCTTGGACTTAGTTGAGCTGTTCTTCAAGTCTTCCTTGAGTTAGTTCCTATCCCGATGTAACAACAGCACAGTTGTTCCCTAACTTTATTCTGAGAGCTTGAAGGAATCCTTAACACAATACATGCTTGTGGTGCAGCCTAGTTAGACTGTCTATGCTTTCATTTTCAGATCTTAGATGCGGTATCCTTGAATACTGCTACAGTACTAGCTAGCAGGAGATAGTGATTGTATTCAATAAGCACTTGGCCTCACAGATGCTGTAGTTCTCTTTAAAAATGCAAAACGTCTCATTGCTGCGTATGCTAGATTTCAGTTACATGTGCAACATTTATTTTATTTATTTATTTATTTATTTTATTTCTATCCCGCCTATCTGGTCATACTAGACCACTCTAGGCAGCTTACAATCGGAGCAACAATAAAATTTTTAAAAACATTACAAATAGACAAAAATAGAAATCAAAGAATATAAAGGAAAAATCGTCAGGGATTATCTGTTGGGAAAGCCTGCCTATACATCATTTAAAACTGATATGCTCAGAGCTACTTCTAAGCTACACCTGTGAATTGATAAGCTTGAGAAATGTGTTGCACATATTTTAAGGAAATCCCCTGTATTTAAAATAATGGGCTCAACTCCAAACAGCAGCAGGGAGAAAGAAGTTTTGCCTATTTTCTTCTCCTCACTTCTGCAGCTTTTTCAGCCTCTGAAAATTTTGCTTAGGATGGATTTAGAACTGTAGTGGGGGGATGGCAGAGGGAGAGTTAAAATAGGAACAATTATTTTTATTCTCCTGCCAGCAGATCAAAAGCTTTCTGTGAATAGAAGCATCCTTTTGTTCGTGGAAAATGAAGTTTTAATTCACACTTTTAACTTGAAATATAAAAATGATCAATTTTTAAACAACCTCTTTAAAGAGGCAAACTTAACATAAGAACTTGAGTATGATTATATATTTCAGCTTTAACAGCATGGCAGAGCTCTTTTTTAATATTTTGTCTGAATGTGAGTTATAATGACACATTACTTCTTTCCAGGGCTACCGATACTGGGCTGGGATAGGAGTCCTTCAGAGCTGTGAATCTGCGCTCACTCACTATCGGCTAGTAGCAAACCATGGTGTGTGTGTGTGTGTGTGTGTGTGTGTGTGTATTTACATTAGCCATGTGTATTTATTTTTATATTAGCCAAGATACTGTGAGTTTCCAGGATTATGTCAGTGTATCAAACTGTGAATGTTTGAGTCTGTTAATTTGATTTGAAAAGAAATGAGGATGATCTTTTCTAAGTATAATAAGTTTTGTAGGATTGCTGTTACGCTTTCTTAAGCTAGATTTCCCATCTAGTTGCTGTGACAGGTAAACAACTAATATTAAATGCATAGAATATTTTGCATAGAAATATTCTATGTATTTATATACAGTGGAGTCTCGACTTGTGTGCGGCTCCACTTACAAACTTTTCGACTTACAGACTTCTTCGGCCGCAAAGTTTCACTTCGACTTGCAGCCAGAGAATCGACCTACGGACCAGAAGGGGGAGGCAGGGAAAGCGCCAAATTCCCTCTTCCAGTCCGTAGGCTGCAGGTCGTGCCCGCTGTCAGCTTTGAGCTTTCTAAGCCCCGAAAGCCCAACTTTGACAGCAGGCGCAGAACGGCTTTCAGCTTTCCAGCTGCCAAAGCTGCAAGGCAAAAGCCGCTCTGCACCCACTGTCAGCTTCAGGGCTTAGAAAGGTACACCCACTAGCCTCTTGTCTCCTGTCCCCGGTGTCTTCTGCCTCCTGTCCCCGCGGGGATGGGAGGCAGAGGACAGTAGGGACAGGCAGAGGGCAGCGAGTGCAGCTTTGGCAGCCCCGGATTTTTTTTTCCTTTGGCTGGAACGAATTAAATGGTTTTCAATGCATTCCTATGGGAAATGGATCCTCGACCTATGGAATTTTTGACCTGCGGCCACAGTTCCAATACGGATTAATTCCGTAAGTCGAGGGTCCACTGTATATGCAATAATTTTTTTATTTAAGCAGGTCTTTAGTGTTTATGTTGGGTTGCTGTTGAAGGGGTCCTAGATGTCTGAAATATTCATTTATTTTTATTGTGAGCTGTTATTAAGTATATATTATTGTTTGTGACCTCTCTTAAGTAAACTTTTAAAGAAGTGCATCATAAACTTGATAGATAAAAATATAGAGTATATTCTCAGAATAAGTTAGAAAAAAATAGCTTGGCATTTTGCCAGTATCACAAACTACTGTGCCTGTTATAACCTCTTCAGAAGCACTGGAATTAATGTTTTCATGTTTTCTATAAAAATCTGGACTCTTCTATGTATATTTTCCCTCCTCAGAGGAAGTCTCCCAACATCAACCACCCTCTAGTTTTCTATTTTTTTAATTTCAGCCCCAGGACAGTCTACTCTAGATATATCTGTGGGTCTAAAGTGGGAGAACCAATCCCCAACTGCGAAAGCAGAGCTCCCCCTCCTCTCTCTTGGAGGGAGGAAATCCTCCACAGCCTCTTATTCCTGAGCCACTATCTTAGAACTAAACCATTGTATTTTTAAGTTATTAGAATATGAAATTATACATGATTCAAATACAGCAATCAGTGTGCATGGATTGGCTGCAGCTTCATTTTGGATATATAGTTGGTAGCAAGTTTGCTATTGTGTATTGTGCAAAACACTCCTAAATAATCAGAAATAGGTTCCTTTCAAAAATATTTGGCTATTCCTTTTGATAAGTCTATATGAAAAAACTGATCTTCTTACCATCTTCTTTCTTTCTAGTGGCTAGTGACATTTCTCTAACAGGAGGAACAGTGGTGCAGAGGATTCGTCTGCCAGATGAAGTAGAAAATCCAGGAATGGCAAGTGGGATGCTGGAGGAAGATTTGATACAGTATTATCAGTTCCTAGCTGAAAAGGGAGATGTTCAAGCACAGGTATGGGCCAAACTGTTGCCAATTATGCTGCAGTTTTAAAATTCCAGGAAGCTGGCAGGAAAAAAAATAATTTGAGGAGAGCTTTACAGATACAATGGACAGCTATAAAGACAAATCAGTGGGTGCTAGATCAACTCAGACCTGAACAGTCATGTTAGAAGTTAGTTAAAATGATTACATTGAGGCTATTGTACTTTTGACATATCATGAGAAGACTCACTGAAAAAGATGGTAACACTGGGAAAAGTGGAAAGCAGCAAGAGAAGAAGAAGACTGAACATGAGAAGGATGTATTCAGTAAAAGAAATCACAGCCTTCAATTTGCATAACCTGAGGACAACTAATGCATAGGGTTGCCGTAAGCTAGAAACAAGATTTGTAACAAAAAGTTACAGTACATATAGCAGGAGAAGCATGTTGGGAACTAATAGGTAAGCTTTTAGAATACCAACTGGATGGTTTTGATTTAGACTTGCTAGTGCTCAAAGGAGGGTGTGCCAGTGGTGATAAACAGCCCAATGGTTGGGCAATGGAACAGAGATAAACTCTGCTGTGTATATATCTACTATGTGTCTTGCTTGCTTGCCCCTCAAGGTGTTCCCTCATTTCCACTAGCTAACTCAACTATAGATTATCTCTATAGGGAGACCCTCTGAAACAGTAAGGGGGAAACAGAAGCAATGCAAGAAAGGGAAGGAACAGGTACCCTGTTCCCCCCAAAATAAGACCTAACCTGAAAATCCCCTGAAAATAAGCCCTAATGCATTTTTTTGGAGCAAAAATTAATATAAGACCTGGTCTAATTTTTGGGAAAACACGGTAGGAGAGAATAAAAAGAGGGAAGAGTGCATGGGAGGAAAGTAACATGTGGAAAGGAAAAGGGATGAATGGGGAAATAAACAAGCCCATATTGATGAGAAGCAGGAGGGGTTGGAAGGTGGTTGGTTGTTGCCCAACCTGCTTTAAAGGGGCAGCTGTCTCTTAAGATGAGCACTGTTTCAGGAGAAATAGATGCACCACCTCTAGAAGGGTATCACTGTGTCAGTTTGTTCTAAGCAGCACCAAGAACAGAGTCTTTGTTTTGCTTTTTGCTTTATCACTAATATATGGGTAGCTGCTGGTGCCAAGTTGGTGGGTTTTTTTGAAGCAGAACTGTTTTTCTTCTCACCGTATTTTTTTGATTTCTTTGTATGCAGCGCTTCATTGCATGTTTTGATGACCTTCCTCTGTTTCTTTTGGGTGGATTAACTTTGCAGGAAAAAGTGATATGTTTCAATTAATCTTCCAGGTTGGACTTGGACAGTTGCATCTGCATGGAGGGAGAGGAGTGGAGCAGAATCACCAGGTATCCATTGCTTGCTGTTTTTGTAGCACCATATGGACATTTCAGGAAAAGAAAATGCCAGGGCAGATGAAGTCATTTAGCTGAAACTAAAATATAAATAAATAAAGTAGGTCAATATAGATAATTTCATTTTCACCATAACCTTGAGATTAGGATAATTAAAACAAAATGAGCCAGTTTTTAGTTAATGCACAACAAACACTTCAGATTGTAGGTTTCTCTGAAACTGGAATTTGGTATACATTATTTCATTGAAAACATAACAGCTTCACTTGGCTAACAAGTAGCAATGCTGATCATTGAAACTGTCTGATATTCTTGAAGTATTTGAGTATAAGATAGATTTATACATGCAAAAAGAACGGGGTTGCTCAATGAGTCAGGTAACTGACTGCAGAGCTAAAGCTTGGAAATTTGATCCCCCACTGTCTGTTGTGAGAGAATGGCTAGCCTGTGTAGCCTTGGGCAGGTTGCAAGTCCCAGAGTACCCCCATGAGAAGTGAGTGGTAAATCACTTCTGAGTATTCATTGCCTTAAAAAAATCCTCTAAAAGGGTCACCATAACCTGTAATTATTTTATTATTAGAATGGGATTGTGTTTATATGAAATATTTATATTGCCCATCATTTAAAGAATAATTCTGGAAGACTGAGTCAACCTTGAGGTGACTTCCTGAATCTATCAAGATCAAACTCGGGTCATGAGCAGACACTTGACTGCAGCACTGCAATTTAGCCAAACAGAATTGAGATACTGAAGCTGACTGCAGTCAGGGGGAAATTAGAATTCTCATTGGGTTTAGATGTCCAAGATGTGTAAATGTAGAAGACTTTATCCTGAAAGTGTTCCTAAAATCAGTACATTTTTGAGTTCCCGTAGGATCAGAAAATACACCAGACTTCACTCAGTGAAAGTTTACCCATGTGAATATATAGTAGGTTAATCTATTTTGTTTTGTTCATGTTTGTTTTTATTTGAATGTTACTGTTAACACCCTTGGCAGGAAAGTAGTGTTGTATATAATTCATGATTTAGTTTAAAAAATGAGAGGAGTAACAATGGACAGATATTCTGTTTAAATAACTGATCTTTTTCTTCATCTTTTCCTTTCTAGAGAGCTTTTGAATATTTTAGTCAAGCAGCTGGTGCTGGTAACTCTCATGCAATGGCATTTTTGGGGAAGGTAAAGTACATTTGCATTGGAATGAGCATATTTAGAAAATAAGATGGTTGAAATTCAGATCTATTTTATGTGTTTTTGGAAGTACATTAGGCAGAAATGTAAACTTTTAAAATGCTGTTTTACTACTACATGTTGACTAAAGGCCTGTTTAGTTGCTAGCTAAGCATATAGAAGCCACCTCTTTCATGTAGCTTACTCATACAAGCCAGAAGTGGTTCAGGCTGACATGGGAAGAATATGCAGGCACAGCAACCTTACCTCTTCACACTTTCACTTCTGCTTTTTGAAAGCCAGAGTAGAAGGGAGCAAGGCTAATGTGCTTCCCTCATTGTGTGTGGGCTCTACATATGTAGCTAATGATTGAATGACTGAAATCCTATTGGTGTAACTATGCTTGTGGGCAGGTGATGACATGACCATCAGGAAGAGATTTTCAGTAAACCAAAACTAAATCTACTTCTGTCTTGTGGCTTTTCCAACACCTTTGTAATCCTTTTCATTGTGTCAAAGCTATGGGGACCATCTTTAATTACCAAATGTCACTGCAGCTATTTGATGCTGCTAGTTGGGGGAGATTTCCAATTATTAAAGCCTTCCTTCTTCTGTCCTCGTAGCACCTATGGCTTCCACACAATGAAAAGCCTATGCAGGAGTCAGAAAAGCTGTAGGGCAGAAGTAGGAAGCTTTTAATTACAGTAATAGACCTCCTGCTTGTGACATAATCATGCTTTCACAGGCATAAATAACACAACAGGATTTCAGCCAGTAGATTTCAGATTACACTAGACTTTAGATTTTTGTTCTCTTTTCTGTAAACAATAGATAACTTGCAATACTTTTTCAAAAGCAACGAAGGTAACCTGGAAAATGTGTTTAAAAGCTTTTCATTTCTAATGCACCACTGTAAGTATTTTCAAATACTGCACGTGAAGAGCAAGCTCTTTAAAAGTGGGATTTTCCCTGTTTTCTCTTAAAAGACAAATGCTTCTTGTAAGACACCTTTTGTGATAGGGATATACCGTATTTTTTGCACCATAAGATGATAGGGATATACTTTATCTGGAGGCAAAATAAATTTCCCACTTCAGAATTGTTGTTTTACACATATATATATTTTCTCAGTATATAAAACTCATAATCATACAGCAGCATTAAAAGAAACATTTCATAGCAAATTTTGTGCTAAAAGGTAAAAGGGATTAGTTACACATGGAAAATTCATCAAACACATATTTGAACATATATTCCTCTGCCTTTATCTCTCTATATATTTTCTCCTTTAAGTAACATGATATTGCATTTTGTTTATCCAGATGTATTCAGAAGGAAGTGATATTGTACCTCAGAACAATGAGACAGCTCTTCAGTACTTCAAGAAAGCTGCTGATATGGTATAGTTCTATGGAAAGAATATTTTAAGGCTCAATGTGAAAATGTGACATATGCAGTCAATAGAGCATATGAGGCTATGTGCAGTGGGGTGGTAAGGGAAGTGGTATATAGATCCTTCTCATGAGAAGAGAAGACTCCTTGGAAAAGACCTTGATGTTAGGAAAGTGTGAAGGCAAGAGGAGAAGGGGACGATAGGATGAGATGGCTGGACAGTGTCTGTGAAGCAACCAACATGAAATTGACACAACTACGGGAAGCAGTGGAAGATAGGAGGGCCTGGCGTGCTCTGGTCCATGGGGTCACGAAGAGTCGGACACAACTAAACGATGATGACGATATAGATCCTAATGGTAGTTTGAGAGAAGAGAATAGTTCATTCCTTTCTACCGAGATAGGAAACCATATTTTGCCTAAACACTGTTATAGCAATGATCAGAAATTTGCCTTCTGTTTCCTGCCATGCAATTTATAACAGTAGCAGTGTGTTTGTCTTTATATAAAAACCTATAATGTTAATTTCATTGGGTGGTAAACTAGCTTATGCCATGCTTTTTTGCTGCACTTCTCCATGGTAGATGGGGCCACCCTGTGAGAAACAAGCCATCTGTAGAGAATTCTAGTTATGAGAAATAACAAAAGAGTAACATCTGTGATTTATGCTATTACTGCTTTCTGTTAACATGCAGCAAAATTTCTGTTTGCAGCCTTGTCTGATATTGACATCTAAGTTGAGCCTTAGATTCTTGTTGTTCCTTTGTATTTTAGGGGAATCCAGTAGGACAGAGTGGCTTAGGAATGGCTTATCTGTATGGAAGAGGTGTTCCTGTGGTAAGTCTGCCTAGCATGGTGACGTTACTAAGCATCTAATAATAAAAAGGTGGTTTTTGGCAACAGAAGTGGCACACCTACTCTGAAAGATATTTTATCATTTATATAGTTCTTGTCACTGCTTGATAGTATATAAAATATGAACTATTTGCTCAGAGGTCTTACAACATAGAACTAAATGGGAATAGAATATGCATTAGTCCAGTTAACTAATTAAGCATAGTTACAATAGAGTATGGGGATTAAAGAGTTGTGCCAAACAGTCTGGAGAATGAGCAAGTGTTCTACTAGCATTGCTCAAGGATCACAGGAGAAGTTTGGACAGCTGGTGACAGAGTGGGAAAAATTAGAATGAAGGGTGTTCCTGGATTATAGTATAATGTACTTGGAAGAGGCCTATAAGGCCCTCTGCTCATTGTAGGAATCCAAATCAGGATATATTTGACAGATGATTCCTAGGTTTTTCTTGAATGCCTCCAGCTTTGGAGTGCTTACCACCTCCTGTGGTAATTGGCTCCATTGTTGTAGTGCTCTAACAGAAAGTTTTTCCTGATATTCAACCAGAATCTGCTACCTGTAACTTTCTATATATTCTTTACTCTGGGAAGCTCGAGCACGGATCCTGCCTCTCCTCTGTATGATAATCTGTGAAGTATTTAAAGAGTACTATCATATCTTCCCTCAGTCTTCTTTTCTTAAGGCTAAACATGCCCAGTTCTTTCACTCTTTTTCTGATAAGATTTGGTATCTAGTTCCCTGATCATCCTTGTTGCCGTTCTCTGAACTTGTTCCAGTTTGTTGACATCCTTAAAGTCAAGTGTCTAAAACTGGACACAGTACTCAAGATGAGGCCTAACCAGTTCCAAATAAAGAGGAACTAGCACTTAACAGGACTTGGAGACTATATTTCTGATAAGCCAAGAAGCCTCTGGGGCCAATCCCTGTATTTCAGGAAAGCTGAACTAGGGAAATCTCGGCCACAAAGAAAAAGAAACTACCATGGCTAATTTAGTAGTTTCCGAAGGGGGGTAAGATATCAATAGAAAATGCTTATGTAGGTAATTAACAGTTGATTTGGCCCATCTACTGTACTGATGTATCTGAAAGTTATTAGATCCTGCCTCTGTATGATAATCTGTGAAGTATTTGAAGAGTACTATCATATCTTCCATCAGTCTTCTTTTCTTAAGGCTAAACATGCCCATTTATTTCACTCTTTTTCTGATAAGATTTGGTATCAAGTTCCCTGATCATCCTTGTTGCCGTTCTCTGAACTTGTTCCAGTTTGTTGACATCCTTAAAGTCAAGTGTCTAAAACTGGACACAGTACTCAAGATGAGGCCTAACCAGTTCCAAATAGAGAGGAACTAGCACTTAACAGGACTTGGAGACTATATTTCTGATAAGCCAAGAAGCCTCTGGGGCCAATCCCTGTATTTCAGGAAAGCTGAACTAGGGAAATCTCGGCCACAAAGAAAAAGAAACTACCATGGCTAATTTAGTAGTTTCCGAAGGGGGGTAAGATATCAATAGAAAATGCTTATGTAGGTAATTAACAGTTGATTTGGCCCATCTACTGTACTGATGTATCTGAAAGTTATTATGTGTCTTCACCCATGCACATGCATTTTGTGATTAGTTCTCAAAAATTGTCAGCCTTTTCTAGGGAACTCCAGTAGTAGAAAGCTTGATAACTTCTAGTAGCAAAGCCTATTGGCATAAGTTACAAAAGTGTGTTTTTGTAGCCTATGAAAGTGACTGTGACATTGTGATGTTAAACTCTAATAATACTGACTGAAAGTCACCTATATCTTCCTGTAGAATTATGAACTGGCACTGAAATATTTCCAGAAAGCAGCAGAACAAGGATGGGTGGATGGACAGCTTCAGCTAGGCTCTATGTACTACAGTAAGTGGTTTCAACCAAATGTCCGGTAACAAGCCTGGGGCCTGCTGTGGGAGTCTGTGTCCAGTGGGAGACAGTGGCAACTTATCAGTATGTTGGGTCCTCCCCACCTTTTTAACAGTAAAGCGCTTGCCTTGTAACTACAAACATCATGAAGTATAAGCCAAACAATGGACAATACTTGTAAAGTGTTTGAGGCAGAATCTAGTCACTGTTTCTATTATTGCAGAAGGACCCCTCCAGGGCTTCCTTGTATCAATATAAGCCTGTTTTCTGAAAAAAAAAGGTGATCTCCAGCTTGTACAACAGCAAACCAGGGGTGGCACAAGTGAAGCGTAATGATCTGCCTGTGTTGGAGCTGGTTCTTTTTCACAGTGGCAAGGAATATCCTAGTTACATCAGAATATTCTTTTTTGTCACATTTTATTGGTGGCATATATAACAAATTCTTGCTAAAGTCATTTTAGGTAACAAACCCAAGTGAGTTCTTTTTCAGTAATTAATTAGACTGGAAGTAAATCCAATGTTTTTGACAAAAATGAGGGTTAGTTCATATTTTTCACAGTTTAGTAGCCTATTGCACGCTATATATATGTTGGCAGTGGCCTCTGATTTTTTTTAAAACTGGTTTTAAAGTTGTAGTTTTGCTAGGTCTTGTTAAAACTGATAGAATTCCAAAATATACTGTATATGGTTACGGTTGGGCTATATGTAAGTGTGTGTTAATTTAACATATCAAATGAAAATCACAATAAAAGGTCTGTAGCTGCCTTGTATCTGAGTTTTAGGATGAAAGAAGAATACATACATACTCAGCTGAGTATAGAATTCATGTGGAGTGCAAAAAAGTTCATTTTTTTACATCCAAGAGACAGGTCTAATAGTTTTTCTTAAAATTACTATGTCCTCATAATCAGATGTATTAGGTTTTCCATAAAAACTGAACTGGCTAGTCTTGAATACACAATTATCATTTCCCACTCCCAAGTAGTACTAGTTCAGTCATTCCAAATAATACTAATCCTCTCCTGTCACTTTTTATTTGTAGATGGCATTGGAGTCAAAAGAGACTATAAGCAGGCATATAAATATTTCAATCTGGCTTCTCAAGGAGGCCACATTCTTGCCTTCTATAACTTGGCACAGATGCATGCCACTGGCACTGGAGTAATGCGTTCATGTCATACTGCTGTTGAGGTAAGAATTTGGTTTTTTAAAGGGCTGCATGTAAGCAAGGGTGAGCAAAATAATTTGCTTATTTATTTATTTTATTTGCTTTATTTATATGCCGCCCCATTAGTGTTAGAGCACTATTCTAGGTGGTTTAACAGTAGTTAAAACTATATCAAAACTACCAAACACTTAAAAACACTCACAGAATAAAAAGCTCAATGGCATCAAAAGAATTTACCAAAGCAGCAGGACAGGAGATGAGCAAAATATCAACCTGGGTCAGTATGAAAAGCCTCCCTAAAAAGAAAAGTCTTCAGTTTTCTTCTAAATATCAAAAGGAAAGGAGCCAGATGTAGCTTCTCCAGGAGCTGGTTCCATAGGTTTGGGGCCATCACGGAGAAGGCCCTGCCTTGGATGGAAGACTTTTGGGCTTCTCTCAGGGTACACATACAAAGCGGCCCAGTCTGGGAGGATCTAGTGGGTCAAGCAGATGACATTGGGGTCTGATGCTGTGACAAGTAATATAGTCAAGCTGTGGAGTGCTTTATATGTCAGAGTCAAAACCTTGAACCTGATCCAGGACACAATGGGTAACCTGTGCAGGCAGGCCAGAACTGGAGTAATGTGCTCAAATTTGTTCACACCAGTCACCAGTTTGGCCAGTGTGAGGAATTGTCAAGCAGACAAGGTGTAGAACCTTCTTGAACAAAGTTCTGACTGCTGTACTTTGATTGTTTTTTCAAACATGTGCAGTTTAAAGCTTTCTTATTAATGTTAGATATATAGATTTTTTTAAATGGTTTGAGTGGACAGAAGGATATTAATGTTAGTACACTCAATTAAATGTATTTGAAAGAAATTATTCTGATAAATCTGAGCATTGATGAAGGCAACACAGCTGCTTGGGGAGTGTGGTATGAAATTTCTCTGGTTTGTATGACGTGAAAGATCCCAAGTTAAGCACTTTCCACTAGAGCAAGGGACTCCAAAGTTTTGAGTGTGAGAGCCACATCGTATATTTTCCACATTTTTGAGGGCCTAATCTTTTCATTTAGTGCCTGTACACTGTCATTTCAATTGTATATCCTGATTGCATGTGTGATACTTGGTGTGTTTTTTTCCCTCTCTGCAGCTGTTTAAAAATGTCTGTGAACGAGGCCGATGGTCTGAGAGGCTGATGACTGCCTTTAACAGCTATAAAGATGGTGATACCAATTCTGCGGTTGTTCAATATCTTTTGTTGGCAGAACAAGGCTATGAGGTTGCTCAAAGTAATGCTGCCTTCATTCTTGATCAAAGTAAGGGATTAGGCAACTACTGGTACTGACTTGGTGTGGATTAGCTATAATCATTGTTTTAGCACCCAAGCATCTTCACCTTCAGAGGAGTTGAGTATGCTCAGAGGCGAAAAGATGACATGAAGTAACAAAATTATTGACAAGCCGCTTTATGTAATTTTATTGCAGAGTAATCTTTATTGTAGAAGCCAAAGGGCAAGACAAGACAAATACATTCAGAAACAAATCAGTGCAGTAATGCAGAGCTCAGTTTTTAAATCCTGCATGAAAATACTACAGGGAGAGAATTCCATAATGGGAAGTCTGATGAAGTGGACTTGTCCACAAAAGCCACGTTAAAATATAGCATTAAAATATAACAGTTACTCTCCAAGATGCCAAACTGGTTTTTGTTTTTATTTTTTGCTTTTTCTTTCATTTTTGCCTTATATTCTAACACAAACTAACACAGTTACCTCTTCCAAAACTACAACCTTGGGAAATAGTTTTATTTATACAGTACTTTTAATCATCCTCTTCCTCTATCTCAGACTGCTCAGCGCAGGGGACTAGCAATCTTGCGTAGGTTATATGGTGAACTGGGCATTTGAACATTTTAAAAGAGGCAGAAAAACACTTTGGTGAAAGACAGAAAAACGCAGTTCACTGTGCTGCATCCCAAATTGCCTGGTGTCTTAGGGACCTAGTACAACTATCTGGCTTGGCTGTGTATAGTCTTCCGCCATGATCTCTTATCTGACAGGTTCATTTGCAGGCAAGACTGGTGTTGGTGAAGTGAATGAGAGGCTGGCCTGGTTTCTGTGATCCACTGGGTAGAGCAGAGTTGGGTGGTTTTGCCTGTCCCCCTTCTCAGTGTTACTTGACAGAATAACATTTGAATAAGTTGAAAGACAGTTTCAGTTTTAGGGATCTAAATTGGTGTCTGAATTGTAAATTAAACTTTTTTTGTTAATTGCAGAAGAGGCCAGCATAATAGAAGAGAATGAGACATATCCCAGAGCCTTACTGCACTGGAATCGAGCAGCCTCTCAAGGTTAGTCATTGTTGAAATTTTTCTAATTTCTAGGCAGTGGCATCTATGAGGCTCTGTAGCAGGCGTTGCCTGAACGGACTGGTGAAGGGAGGAGGGAAATGCATTGTTGCTATACAGATTCATTTATTAGAAGCTGAGGATTGTATTAGCATACGTGGCTCTTCACAGAGAAGTACATGTCTTGTATTGTACCATTTGAAACCTCTTTGCTTCTTACTCATACTTCTTCAGTAGCTTGAGCAGAGTATAAGCAGATCTGCGAAATATGTACTAGCGAGATGAACAGTTGTGTCTATCATTGTTTCTTTGTCTAATTTATCGAAAATGCAATTGCTAGTGTGGTAATTTATGCTGAGACATTGGACAAAATTCTGTTGGTGTAGATACACCAGCGTAAACAGCATTCGGTTGCTAGGGAAAAAATGTGATTCAGATGCTTCCTGTCCTACTGTTTCAGGTTCTGATCCTCTCTAGATCTCCCTTTTGCCCTGTGGAAACCTTTGATAGCCTCAGGACAGTGGAGGAGGGGAAGCTTTTAATAGACAAAAATCACTGCTACATTGCCACCATCAGAATCAGGACTGCTGTTGGCACAATGGGGAGTAGAGCACAAACATTCAGCACAATGCTGAAAATTCAAATTCTTTCTGCAGCAAAAGTAAACCTTATGCTGAAATGAAATACATATGCACTTTAACCTACTGTGTCTTCATAGAGCTTGTTATTTTGCTGGTAGGTTATACCGTTGCCAGACTGAAACTTGGTGATTACCATTTCTATGGTTTTGGCACTGAAGTTGATTATGAAACTGCCTTTATTCACTATCGCCTGGCAACAGAGCAACAGCACAGTGCCCAGGCTATGTTCAACCTGGGATACATGCATGAGAAAGGGCTTGGCATCAAGCAGGTAAGCAGAGCTTGAAACATAACTTGTGATTATTGTACATTTCCAGCAGTGCAACCTTCATCCCAGAAAGCTATAGGAATCTTCCACTTTCTACACTCTGGCACTTAAGACAGGAATGGGTATTATGTGACTTGTGGATTACATGCAAGACCTGCCAAAAAATACTACCTTTTTTAAAAAGAACTGTATCCATACTGCTCATTGGCTCTAAGACACAGCAGCCCAGTTCCCAAGCACTTTTCCAATTTATTTCCAGCTATTTTGTACTTCAATCCCCTTGTTTACACTTAGTCAGTACTTGCTGATTTTTCCAGCATTTCTTTTTATCCAGAATTATATTTTACCTTAATTGATCTAGGAAGTCTTCAGTCAGACTGACTACCTCCATGTTATTTCTCCCTGCAAATGAATCCAGAGCTACTCAGGCCAATAGAAGACTTCCTAAGTCATTCAGGTCTATTAAGGTAAAGAGTTCAGATTTTTCATGTAAATTACCACTATACTGAACAACTGAGTATAAAAGAAGTGCATCAGGTATTTTTTAAAACTTCCATATAAGTGGAAAATGTAGACAGAAGATGCAGCACTTTTTTTCAGCAGCAGATCATACCGCATGTGTCTGTGCTATTTATATGAAGAGGAGAATTTTTCTTCGTGGCCTCTGTGAATCACACCCTGGGTGATCCGCGCCTGCGCTGGAGTCTCATTGGAAGTTTCTAGAGTTTCTGGAATAGCAAAAAACAGATTAGAATAAGGCCCCTCCCCCATCGTATAAGTACCTTGGCACCAAGGCTCCCCTTTCAGTTTCTTTCAACTACCGCATTGAGAGCCTCATAGTTCTGCTTCTGTGAGTAAAAGAGAGAGTTTATTCTTGATTCCTTCCTGTTATCAATCTTTTTTCCTTTAAACTTTTAGATCAAATTCATTATCCTCTTTTCTACTTTGCTCAGCCTCCCGCCGCAGTCCCCCCCCCATCATCATTTTTTTCTCCTCAAATTATTTTCTCCTATTCATGGCCCCTTTGGGCCCATTTAAACACTGCATGGTCTGTGATAACAAAATACCACTCTCCGACGGCCACGCCAAGTGTCTTTTTTGCTTGGGAGAGGCACACCAAATGTCCTCCTGCCATTATTGTAAGAACTTCAAGTGCAGAGTCCTCCGTTCTCGCTTATCCAGATTAAAACTCCGTCTTTGGGAACAATCCCTTCAACTTGACCAAAATGGCCCAACCTCCTTGTAAGGCCTCCTCACAAACCAAAGCAATGAAGAAGACTCTTTCTGAAGCCTCAAAACAACATCTATCGACCACACCATTCCACTCCAACGATCCATCCCATTAGTCTAAAACTTCAAAACCCCAATATCGACGCCTTCCACTAAACGTCAGATGTCCACTGAAGCCTCTTCGGTTCTGGAGTCAACGATCCATCCCATTAGTCTAAAATTTCAAAACCCCAGTATCGAAGCCTTCCACTAAACGTCAGATGTCCACCGAAGCCTCTTCGGTTCTGGAGCCTTCTCTGCCTAAAAGACCTCAACAGTATAAATCTAAAGCTACAGTCATTTCTCAGCAGCCTCAACAAACCACTGAATCAATCTCTATTGGTTCACCTTCTGACGATGAGAGAATCCCCCCTCATCAACCCTGCTCCCAATCACCGGAATGGGATGACAGAGTCTATCAATTAACATCTTCTCCTCCCAGTCCTCAACACTCTGTTCTTTCGAGCAACCCTTCTGTATTTGCTTCACCTGATAGGATTGACTCCAAACAACTAGAGATCATACCTTATTCAGTAATATCTGATTGTCCACCATCTCAGAGGCATTGGCCCCAACAGTCCTTGGAGCTGTCTATTTCATCACACATGGCTCAGACCCGCATTCAGCACTCTGACCGGATTGCCATTTGCCCCGACCAGTGCTCAACCGGACAAACCGCAACCGCCAATCAGCCAGTTGCTCTCTCGGCCATACCCTTCTCATGGCAGGCCTCGATCTCGACAGCCATTGATGCTGAAACAGCCATATCACCGTGACCCACATCAACTCCAACTTGCTCCCTACCTGGCACCTAAAAGACCCAGGACAGTCAAGCAATTTTCTTCTACATGTGAGGCTTTTACAGCTCCAGCCTCCCGATATTTTCCCGCTAATCCAGACAAGGGAAAGCTTTCCTCTCACTCGGCATCTCCAGCATCTATAGACTCCACTGCTTTACCATCTCATCAATGACCTCCGTTTCGACATCACTAAGACATAGGCTTTGATATCGATGATCCTTGATATCCATCCTGATCCATGGACACTTGTTCTGTTCTTCTATCTATTTATTTATTTATTTTATTTGTATCCCGCCTATCTGGTCAATCGAGGACCACTCTAGGCGGCTTAGAGTGTTCTTCTTCTTCTATCTATCTATTTATTTATTTATTTTATTTGTATCCCGCCTATCTGGTCAATCGAGGACCACTCTAGGCGGCTTAGAGTGTTCTTCTATCGACACACAATTTCCATCACCCGATAGAACCAAGCCATCACTATGACCCCGAGTTCAACACTGACGTTCAGCCATATCAAACGACGTCCATGGACACTTGGATGACATCTCTTGATATCTAAAATCCTTGACACCGACAAATGCCCATGGACGTACCGCCTCCATCGACATTGTGCCCCAAACGTCAATACTATGACACTCAACCTATTGACACCGAAGTTGATCGACAATCCATTGACTCCCAACGCGATCCCAATTATTCCGATCATGGACCCAGACCTCAGAGGCCGTCGGTATTACTTACCTCCCCAGAATCTGACCTTGTCGATGCCAACCCGCCATCACCAGCAGAAGACTTCCAAACTTACGCCCAACTTATGGTCTGTATGGCTAAGTCTCTCAATCTCCAAATCCACTGTCCTTTGACAGAACCAGCTGATCATCTATATGACCCAATCTCTAAAGACACTACTACTCCAGTACACATCTCGATGCTTCCATCTCTAGTCAGCACCGCTCAACGATCCTGGACACTCTTCCCATACCATGTCTAAATGAATCGATAACCTCTACTGAGTCCATGATCCTGGAGCTCTGTTTCTTCAAAAACAACAAGCTCCAAACTCTATTTTTGTCAAAGCCTCAAAGTCCAGATCTCAACGTCAACAAACCCTCATAACACCAAATAAAGACAGTAGAAGGATTGACTCAATAGAAAGATGGTTTTATTCATCAACAGCGTTCACCATGCATATCACTAACTACCAGGGAGCCATGGGTGTGTATCAATGTTTCCTTTGGGACAATATGTCAACCTTTGTTGAATCTTTAGGTAAAGGTTCCCCTTGTCCAGATCTCAACGTCAACAAACCCTCATAACACCAAATAAAGACAGTAGAAGGATTGACTCAATAGAAAGATGGTTTTATTCATCAACAGCGTTCACCATGCATATCACTAACTACCAGGGAGCCATGGGTGTGTATCAATGTTTCCTTTGGGACAATATGTCAACCTTTGTTGAATCTTTAGGTAAAGGTTCCCCTTGACATTTATTCCAGTCGTGTCCGATTCTAGGGTGCGGTGCTCATCCCTGTTTCCAAGCCATAGAGCCAGTGTTTGTCCGAAGACAGTTTCCGTGTTCACGTGGCCAGTGCGACTAGGCATGGAACACCTTTACCTTCCCACCAAGGTGGTACTTATTTATCTATTCACATTTTACATGCTTTCGAACGGTTAGGTTGGTAGGAGCTGAGGCAAGCGACAGGAGCTCACTCCATCATGTGGATTCGATCTTACGACTGCTGGTCTTCTGACCTTGCAGCACAGAGGCTTCTGTGGTTTAACCCGCAGTGCAACCACGTCCCTAATTGTCGAATCTTTACCAGAAGATAAAAAAGCACTTGCCCAAACCTTTCAACAAGAAGGACTTTCCATTGCCGAAAAAAAGATGCTTTTTGCTAGGCACCTGATAGATGACACAGCAAAGTCAATGGCCACTTCAGTAGCCTTACGACGTTTCTCTTGGCTAAGGACAGCTGGCCTTGCTGAGGATGCCCACGCATGTATCGAATTCCTTCCATTCAACGGGGCAGGCCTCTTTAATGCTGAAACTGATGGTATCTTGGAAAATGTGCAAAAGAAAAGATCAGCAGCTAGACATTGGGGAGTTTATCCATCTTACCAACAACGCCCCCAACAAAATCAGTGGCGATGACCATACAACTCATATCAAAAATTCCAATATGATCGTCCAAAACAAACATCTTATACATCCTCTTTCAGAAATCAAAGAAATAGACTCCGCCAACAACCCATTACTAGGCGCAACGACCACAAGCCCAAACATCACATTTGATGTTCCCATGACTGAGATTGCACATCACTCCACCCAACCTGCCCTCTGGAAACACTTACCTGTCTGGGAATCCATCACTACAGATGCCTGGGTACTGTCCATCATCCGCAACAGCTATGGCATCCATTTCTTCCAACTTCCTCCAGCAACACGTGTCATCACTCCACCAACTCCAGTCCTACAAGAGGAAATAAAAAATTTATTCCTCAGAGATGCCATACAACCCGACTCACAACACAACAAAGGGTTTTTCTCTAGCTATTTCACTATACCCAAAAAGGATGGAGGTCTTCGCCCTATCTTAGACCTATGTGAGTTAAACAAATACATCATTACCACAAAATTTCATATGGTTACCCTCGAATCAGTTCTCCCTTTACTCTGCAAAAACAACTGGTTCACTGTCATAGATCTCAAAGATGCATACTTCCATATTTCCATACAGATACCCACCCGCCTTCCCCGCAATGGTCACTAACACTAGTACTGCAACAACTTACTAAAGCTCCTTTCAAACCTTTAGCTTCAACTGATTTACAGCTACTTACCTTTAAAACAGTTTTCCTCGTCACCATCACTTTACGAGCTAGTGATTTAGTGGCCTTACATCACGACTATCCTTATTTACAGTTTTTCCCGACAAAGTCAAACTATCCATGGATATTTCTTTCCTCCCCAAAGTCGTATCTCAATTCCATCTCTCTCAGCCATTCACTTCACGTATCAGCCAGCACGCAAACCAGTCCCAAAGGTGATTCACCCTCACTCCACCAGAGCAGTGACGACCTCTACGACATTCCTACACGGCATACCCCTTCGAGACGTCTTCGCCTCTGCCACCTGGGCATAGCCATCCACTTTCATTATACACTTGATCCCCGGGAGAAGTCTGATGTGGCCTTTGGACATGCTGTTCTATCCTCTACCTTGGTGTGACACCTAGCCTCCGGGTAAGACAGCTTTTTAGTCCCCCAGGGTGTGATTCACAGTGGCCACAAAGAAGAACGACAGGTTACCCACCTGTAATTGTAGTTCTTCGAATGGATCTCTGTGATTCACACATCCTGCCCATCCTTCCCACTGTCACACCATTCTGCTTAATGTAGCAGAGGTTGACACAACTGAAAGGAGAGCCTTGGCGCCATATGAGGGGGAAAGGGCCTTATTCTAATGTGTTTTTAGCTACCTCAGAAGCTCTAGAACTTTCCAATGAGGCTCTGTGAAGGTGCGGATCATGCAGGGTATGAATCACAGAGGTCCACTCGAAGAACTAAATTACAGGTGGGTAACCTGTCGTTCTTCTTATAAGTTTGTGTTGTATACTTATCTTTCAGGCTGCTGGCTAGACTGGAATTCAGCCTTTGGCCTGGCTGAGATCACATTCCCCTGATTTAAGTTGTTCTTCTGAAATAAATACATTGACAAAGGATAAAATGCATACACTTTTATTGTTAAAGTTGATACCAACAGGTTCGTGTTAACTCCTTTCTTCTTTTCTGAATAGTGCTTTGAATATTTGTGTGTATCTGTTGCAGGACATTCATCTTGCAAAACGCTTCTATGACATGGCAGCAGATGCCAGCCCAGATGCTCAAGTTCCTGTTTTTCTTGCACTCTGTAAACTAGGAATCATTTATGCCTTGCAGTATGTGCAAGAAACCAATGTAAGTAATGCAGAGAGAAAGACCACAAATGGGCATTTATCATATCAAATAGAGATAATTGAGCAGGTGTTGCTGGTGCTTTGTTCCTATATATCTTGGCCAAAGGTGGATGAGTTTTGAGTTGGTCATACACACTGAGAGTGCTTGATCTGAATTGCTACAGGACCAACTTTTGTGAATTTTTAGAGAAACAATTAGGAAGATTTTAGAAAGCTGCTTGGATTTAAATTTGAGATACAGGTTCCATGTAATATCTATCTGGGAGTGGGGCAGTATATACATGCAAAAAGAACTTTCCAGGGTTCTTGCACAGGTACCAGACTAGAGTGTAATGAATAATCTAGAACAGGACACCAGGGTAGCCTGGGTTGTTCTCCTGCAAGACTGCTAAAGGTAGGATTACCTATCAAACATGCTTGAAATGACCTTAATTTGTTCATATAAAGGACCAAATCCAAGGCAACTTCTTAATTGTCATGGTTGTGCTACTACTATTACTATTTTTCCCAAAGTAAAAAGCAAAATGTCTGTTTCTGTTTAGATCAAAGAGGTGTTCTCTCATCTTGACATGGACCAGCTCTTGGGACCCGAGTGGGACCTTTACCTGATGACCATCATTGCTTTGCTTTTGGGTACAGTAATAGCTTACAGGCAGAGGCAGCATCAGGCAATCCCTAGGCCTGCAGGGCCACGGCCAGCCATGCCTCCCCAGGAGCCTCCCCCAGAACATCAGCCACCACAATAACAGAAGCACTGGGTCTTGATGAAATGAACTGGATATTCCAGCTGGGACTCTTTGTGTGATTTTATGACACCAGATCAGATGGCTACATCTGTGAGAGAAAGCTAAACAAAACAAAACCATTGCATTCTGAAAGCTGTTTAGAGCTATGCCTTTTTTCAGGGATATGCCTCTTTCTTCAGGATGGAGTTGAACGTTATTTCAGTGCCAATGGAATAACAAAACAGCTTTTTTGTTAAACAGAAGTGCTCCACTTCAGAAATGATGCCTGCTGTATCCACATTGTTCATTGCCCTTTTCAGTTGTTCCTTGGTAGTTTAAATATCCTTTCGGTTACAACGTGGCCTACGCAGAAAGGAAAATATAGTGAAGCTTGATACAAGAAGAGCATGTTTGTGTTCCTCCACTAAGTAAAAAAAGCAGCACTCCTCTTGAAGAGTGTTTGCTACTGTGAACCTGGTTAACTTTTCGGCTCGCCCAGTATGTAACTCCTTTTAAGTAACTTCCGCCTTTGACTGTCTATTTGAATGTTTTAATTGGAATATGCCAGTCATAAGAAGTAGAAAAAGACAATCAGTAAATATGGTAAATATATCTCTTATTCTCCAGGGACTGTATTTAACCTTGCTCATTTGGATTGATTCTTTTCCTGTAAGTACAATTTAGAAGCGTGAATTGCATATTTAAAACAAAACTTTAATTTAATGAACTCCTCCACAGTGCAGAATTCAAATTTGCTTTAATAAACCTATCTACAAATTGTAAGATTTCCCTATTTGAAGTACACAAGACAACTTCCTTTTCTCAGTTGTTTCACAAATGCACTATGGTTAGCCAAACAGTGGGCAGGAAAAAGAGCCCTCAAAAGGCTCCCTTTTGGCAGTTTCCTCTTTTCTGCTGCATTCTTAGTGAGGTAGTGCTGGTTACGTTTTCAGTTCATCATGACGGTTTTAACAAGACAGACTTGTCCAATCCTGTTTTCATAGTGGGACAGGATTGTGCCATTAATGGTTATTCCATGTCATTGCAATCTTATGTGGCACAGTCTCAAATTTTTGTTGCATGCCATCTGGAGTGCAGACACTAAATTGGCATATTTTGGCCTGTTCTGTGGTATTAATTAATAAATGTCTCACCGTTTGGACTATACTAGTCTGGCTGTATAATATCCGGTGCCAGTCATTATTTAGTCAGAGAACCCATCATTTTTATGCTCTTTAAAGGTGACGGCAAGATCTTGAAAGAGTGGAGAGAATCTCTGAACCTTGATGTTGCAAAGCAGTAGTTGTCTGCTGAGTTGCACTGGAAAATGCATGTGGAAATTTCTGTTTGCCATGTCACTAAATCAGCCATAACAGCTACTAGACTGTGTGGCTTTTTGTGGGAGAGTTTCTTTTGTGTGACTACTCTGCATAGATAAGTTTTCTGACTGAATGCTAAGACAGAGATGCATTTGATTTTACTGTTGCACTAAAAAATTGCATCAAGATCCAGACCCCTTGTTTCTAGAGCATGGTTGAATAAGATTTTAATAGTTTTTAATGCAGTGTGGTTTTTCAGCACTCTTTAGACATTAGACCTCATTTGGTGCATTTGAGAGTGATGCAGTGGATCATCGTCGTGCACCCACAGTGTTTGTTAGTAGATCAATATTTAATTCATAGGTGGAAAAGGAAAAGTCTTCTATGAAAAGAGGAGACAAATGGTGTGGTTCTGAAATGCAAAGGTATTGTTAAGCAGGACTGTTTCCTCTTTGTCCTAAAATATGTGGGAAGGGCTTCTAGCAGAAGGACATTTTGTAGTCTAATGACAGTATTATGAAGGAGGACAACCTTGTAGGAAGTCTTAGAGCTCTTCAGAATGTATAGATAGGATGAAGATCTTTTAACTGAAATAAAGGTACCCAAAAGAAAGGTAACCAAAAGAAAGAAACAGCTCTACTGAAATACTTCATAATACGCCACAGTTCAGAACAATGTGAGGGGACAGAGATTTCTTTGACTTTTCAATTGCTCCCAAAGTTCTAGGATAAATTTCATCTGTGAAAGTTGCAACTATGAAAACGACTTAAGACTCCAGAATCAAATAGTTCTCCTCCACTTTTCATGCATGTGTTATTTGTATAACCTGGTGTAGATGGAAATCTATAAATTATTCAAATTACCATGTGCAAAGGAAATAACGGAAGTGGTGTAGTTATATGATGAAGTATGGCCACATGCCTGATTGTGTGACCAGACCTCACTGCATCAACACAACTGCTTCCTTAGTTTTGCTTGTGGAACTACCTGGTAGAATAGTATACTGGGGTCATTTCAGTAACATCTAAGCAGTTGTACAGTTGTCCTTATTCCACTGAGATCGAACGTCACTGTCTCTAGTTGGCAGATATTAACTATGTAGTTCTTCAAACAAGTCATGCATTTCCAGAGTTTTTTCCCTCTGCCGTGACATTTATTTCCTACTAGGGCATGTTCAAGGATTACTGTTTGTATTCTTGCAATATGCTTCATCCATTTCAAAACCAAAATGGTTTATTTTCTGTTTTATTGCCAGCAGATGTAGCATGCCATCATCTGCACTAAAACACTTTGAGATATAGACAAACCCTCCTGATACCTTTCCCCCAACTTTTAAATAATTTCTCTCTTTAAAATTCAAAATAAATAAGTATTTCTTCTTGGGTTTTCTAATTATTTCAGTAGTATCCATTTGGACCCTATGTACTAGATTATGTCAGAAAACATCATGCTAACTCAGGGATTTAAAAATGAAGAGTGAGTTTTCTAGATTATCTGCCTAATGTTCTCTTCCATTCTGAACTTGGCTTCTAAAATTTCTTTAAAGCTAGTATTCATCAGTATAAAATTGTTTGTGCTTACTTAGTGCTAGGAAAATAGATTTTGATTTATAAGCTTTGGTATATGGCGTGATTTCAGCAACCATGTGTGGACTAAGGAAACACTTTATGAGAAGTAAGGGGGACAAGATTGGTCTAAATAATCTAATCAAAATAAATTGCTTGATTGAAATTCTAATTAAGATTAAAAATATTCCATGAATAGAGGCTATGTAATTTAAAATGATATATTTTACTTTAAAAAGAGAGATGTTTGATATTTTTCCAAGAAGGATTAGAACTCATAAGTGACTTGGTTCAAGATGTGCTAAAACTATCCTAATCCATCTCTCTTCTAAAATTTTATTAATCCACCAAATATTGTGAACATGGACAGTAGCATCTTTCAGATAACAGTTGCATACTGTGTTGATGAGCTTTCCATACCTGAATATAAGTAGCATTTTCCATATATATGAAAACATTTGTCCTGAGATGTGCCCATTAAAAATGACTGTGTTTGTGTGAAGAGTTTGATTGAATCTTTGAAACTATTAAAGCAGGAACAAACTGGTCATTTTAAGTAACTGGATGTTTCACAGTGTACTAACATCTCTTAAGTCTTGTAGGTTCTGTCTTGGTAGCTATCACAGATGGATCTTAACTTTGTTAAAATCTGTTGATCTGTTGTCGATAATGTGGCTGTGCATATGAGAATATTTCACTGCTGTGATAAGAATTCCTGATGGAGCAAAGTAGGAGGGAGGGGAATTTGCCTTTAAGAGAGAATCCTGGTAAAGATGAGAACATTGAAGGGAAGTCCCCAGCACCACCACATCGGATTTACCAAATAAATGTACAGCACTCCAGCTAAAAGTAGCCCTCATTTTGGACTGAATTTCATTGTCTGCTACTCTAGTGGCTCCCATAGAAATGAATGGGAAAAAATAGCTGTGACTTGGTACGTGATTTAAGCATGAAACAGTGTGGTGTAAAATGGCATTTCAAGTGGTTGGTATTGTGTGTAACAGTCACGAGCACTTGCTTATACAGCACCAATGTCATGTACCTCCAGGCCAGAAATCTCTGGAACTTCTAACTAGTTACATTGAAACTTAAATGGCAGTTTTGTGTATATTCGCTTGGTTGTATGTCCCTTTGAACACAACAGTACTAAAGATGTGTATGTCACTCTGCAAGTAATGGTTGACTGAAGGTGGATTGCAGGCAGAACTTGCACCCTGTTTGCTGTGTCAGTAGAGGGTCAAATGTCTATATATAAAACCTAGGCTGTAAAAATGGAAATCTTATGTATATTAGGTCTTAACGTTCTAAAGAGGACACAATAAAATAGAATTGTTCCAGATTTTTTTTCAATAAGTAAATACAAATTGGGAGATGCAAATGAATAAAAAACAGTGGAGAAGGCTAGTAAAAAAGAACTTCTTCGGTCTCACATTGGCCTGAGTCACTAAGAGCATATGAGAAGTTTTGTGTATTTTATTTTGTATTTAAGATGATGCAGTATAGAGGCTGGAGAAGTGTAATATAACTGTAAACAAATCCTGTTAATAGAAAGATGTACAGATTCATTTTGTACTATATCTTGTTAAATAAAGATGCTACTTTTGTGATTGGCCAGTAAGGCTGTAAAAGAACTTGTGTCTTTTTCAAGCCTAAAAGGAGAACACTGGTATTTCTGACAAACTATGATCCATGTAACTAAACAGTAAGTTCACCCATCACCCTTTAACACACTTTTTTCCTGCCTAATGATATAATCCAGTGATTCTTTACTCAGAAGTAAATGCCACAGGGCTTCATCTTAGACTCCAGTCATCTGACTCTGGTCCCTCAGGGTTGATGGACTGCAACTGCCAACAACTCTAGTAGCAGTGATCAGAGCCAATGGGAATTGCAATCTATCATCCCACTTTTCTTATTTTTTTCCACTCATGAAGTAGAGATAGTATATCTCAGTATGTTGGAATGCCTTCACACTTCAGGAGTTTGAATCCCCTCTGAGCAGCCAGCCATGATCCTGCCCACCTGTACATCCATGGCCAAGCTACAAGGCCCCAGAGCACCATTGGAAGGTAAACCACTTCTAAGTACACTACACTTAGAAAACCCTGGAAGGTTTGGAAGGACACAGTTGTAGTTGTACTTTGTTCATATATCTTGGCATACATCCCATCAACTGTAAAGAATATCTACTTTGGAATAGATGTCTTTAGGATTATATTTCAGCAATGTTTCTGTATGGATGGGAGATTCTTCTGATGGCACCTTCAGCATGGTTTATTCTCATGACTGCTGTTTATGTTTCCTGTGGTGAGTCCACCCTCCCCAATGAACAGACTGAAGCTGTGCTGAACATTGTAAGAGGCTAGTGCAGTGGTTCCCAACCTCAGCTTTCCAAATGTTCTTGGACTACAATTCCCAGAAATCCTGGCAAGCACAGCTAGTGGTGATGGTGTCTAGGAGTTTTAGTCCCAGAACATATGGTGACCTCAAGGTTGGGAACCACTGGGCTAGTGGCAGGAAGAACATGACAAGCAGCTACCACTATTTTTACCATGGTAGTCTATCTATAAGAGGGAATACATAGGCAGCTTGATACTTGATGAGAAGTAAAACTATTCATAGCTTCCAGCCAAATAATGGCAATCACAAAGCACTGCAGTATATTGCCTGGAATTGTGTTGTGCATTTACACAAATGGCCAGAAGGTTAAGAAATCTCTGTAGACATCTATTGTAAACCAGGTCATACAGCTCAGTATACAATAGCTACTATATGTGGAGATTTCTTAACTTCTGACAATTTGTTTGTTTAATACATTTGGATATTGTTAACTTAGTGCAAAGCATTAAGCATTTATGTCCAAAAATTACATAATTTGCATAACTGCACTACAGGATTTCAGCCACTGAGTGTTTTGATAAAAATCAAAAGCAGTATCAAATTAAGCTATCTCATACTTGCTCTTTTATAACTTTTACTTTTTACAATTGCTTATAGCATTTAGTCAAGTCACAATACTTGCCTATTGTCCAGATGTCCAATACAGTTAGGTCCGGAAATAATTAGACACTGACACAAGATTTGTTATTTCAGTTGTTTACCAAAATAAATTCAAGTTACAGCTAAATAAAATGGATTTAAAGTACATTATCTGAACTTTAATTTGAGGGTATTCACATCCAAATTGGATGAAGGGTTTAGGAATTGCAGCTCTTTAATATTAAGCCCCCTCTTTTCCAAGGGACCAAAAATAATTGGACAATTGACACAAAAGATGTTTCATGGAAGGATGTGGGCTATTATTTCATCATCAATGAAGCGGGTAAGAGGTCTGGAGTTGATTCCAGGTGTGGCATTCATATTTGGAAGCTTGCTATGAACCCACAACATGGGTTCAAAGGAGCTCTGAATGCAAATGAAACAGGCCATCCTTAGGCCAAGTGAAGAACACTTTGCAGAAGGTAGGCATATCATTATTCAAGTCTACCATAAAGACTTCACAGAAGGTTCACCACAAGGTGCAAACCATAAGGCTCAAGAACAGAAAGACCAGATTATTCATTTATTTGATTTATACCCTGCCCATCTGGCCTATAAGACCACTCTAGGCGGCTTAGATTTTGCAAAAAAAAATCTTTAAAAGCCAGTCCAGTTCTGGAACAGCATTCTTTGGACAGATGAAACCGAGATCAACCTGTACCAGAATAATGGGAATAAGAAAGTATGGAGAAGGCTTGGAATGGCTCGTGATACAAAGCATACCACATCATTTGTAAAACACAGTCACTAGTGTTTATTGCAGCCAGATGAATTATTAAGTGTATAGGAATATATTGTCTGCTCAGATTCAGACAAATTCAGCAAAGTTGTTTGAACAGCACTTTACAAATGGACCCAAACATACTGCAAAAGCAACCCAGGAGCTTTTTAAGATGAAGTGGAATATTCTGCAGAGTCAATCTCCTGATCTCAGTCTGATCAAGCATGCATTTCACTTGCTGAAGACAAAACTTAAGGCAGAAAGACCTACAAACAAACAACTGAAGACAGATGTAGTAGAGGCCTGGAAAAGCATTTCAAAGGATGAAACCCAGCATTTACTGGTGTCCATGCATTCCAGACTTCAACCTGCAAAGGATTCTCAACAAAGTATTAAAAAGGAACATTTTATTTATGATTATGTTAATTTGTACAAATACATATGAGCCCCTGAAATAAGGGAATTGTGTATGAAAATGGTTGCAATTCCTAAACGATTCATTCAGTATTTTTGTTTAACCCCTTTAATTAAAGATGAAAGTCTGTTCTTCAATTGCTTCATTCAAATCCATTGTGGTGGCGTACAGAGTCAGAATTATGAAAATTGTGTCAGTGCCCAATTATTTCCAGACCTAACTGTACATTAGGCCTGTTCTGAAAGGGAGACATCATGATCCAGCTGCCAAACAAAAAAAATACTATGGAAAGAAAAACACACAAAATAACTTGCTGTTTTTGTACTAGAATAAATAAGAGACAAGTTCCAAAAAGTGATTTGTTAAAAAATTAATGTTAAACATGTGCGAAAATTGTCTTCAGATTTTAAAGGTCAGCCCTTCTCCAAACCTGCTTGACCTCTGGCCCCAATCATAATTCGCTTTTTTTGTTACAGTGGTTTTAGGAATGAGATTACTGCTTCACCATTACTAGGAAAATACCATTTTAGAAAATGACTAGCATAGATACAACCACATATGTTTCATTTGGCATGCTGTGCAATTATATACTGTATAGCACTCTATAGCCTATATAGCACTCTACAGCCTATTTGCCTCTTTTTCTGAACAAATAAGGTTGCTGTCCAAATAAGTGTACAAAAGACTGTATTAAAGCACAAGACTTCATGTATATTTTCTTGTACCTTTGCAAAGGTTCTAGAAAACTATCAGTATTATCCCTGTACTGCAGATTCTGGGGCAGAGACTTTTAAAAGGACTGGCTTCTCTGTGATCTCCAGTGAGACCATCAAGCTAGAAAATATGAATGGACTACTTTTTGAAGCACCGCTATGTCTCTTCATCATCTCAGAATGAATAAATATGCTTGCATGTGCAGAACAAGTTGAAGGCCATGACACTTGAATCTAAGCGTTATTGTGTTAAAACACTTTCCAAGATTAGACTAAATTATTATTTTTTATTTCCATAGGGCAATAATAGTTTTGGAACTTGCAAATAGCATCAATGTCTGCAAACCAGCAGAGGGTGCTATTTCCATAGGGTAATAATACAGTACTGTAGTTTTGGAACCTGCAAATAGCATCAATGTCTGCAAACCAGCAGAGGGTGCACTGATCCTGCTGCTGCAAAGATAACAGCCCTACTGATGCTCACTATTGACAGAGCACTTCCTTGAAAGTCCCAAGTACACTATGTTAGGATCCTATTTCTCAGTACTACCACTCACCCTCTGGAATAGGCATGCACCCTTCACCCTACCCTTAACTCCTCCCTCCTGTTCTTTTGTTTCCCTAATAACTAACTGTGCCATCAAGTTAATTCCAGCTCATGGAGTCCCTTTCCAGGGCTTTCTAGGTGTAGAATACTTTGTTTTCCTAGCTAAGCTATGAGCAGGTTCTGTGGCTCCTCCCTTTGACACTGAAAGCAGGACACCCTTTCTCTTGTGCCTCCCCCAAGGGGGGAAAACCCAGATTTTCCACCTATGCTGCTGCAATCTTCTCCCTGATCTTCTCATGTATCACCTTGAGTGCCTCTACCTACATAGCAGAACCCTGAACTGCCAAGGTTACTCACCCATTTCATGGCATATTTTTTTCTCCAAATAAATCACTTCCTGTCCTCTCCTGGGTCTTACCCAAGTTCCTTGTCCTTCCTTCAAGCCTTGTATGACCCCTCCCTTATTTTTTTATTCCATTGACTGCTACCTTCCTACCAGTGACCTTTGCTCTCACTACTCAGCCATTCTAAGCGTTCTTGCCTTCTCATATTCCAGTGATTGCTACCTGCCTACCAGTGACCTTTGCTCCCAGTTCCACTACTCAGCCATTCTAAGCGTTCTTGCCTTCTCAGAAGACATGACCTTCTCTTTATCCTGCACTGCAATACCTGCATTGAAACTACCTTTCAAAGGACCTGTGTAATGCCTTCTCTCTCATTTCTTTGCTCTGAGCCCATTGGCACAGTCCCTGACTTCTCATGCCCCATTAAGTCTGAGCACACATCATTGAAATAGCAGCACGTTGCTTTCCTTTTGTGATGGTGCCATATACGATAATTGTCATGAGCCGTGCTTGTATGTACTTTGGCCAGGATCCAGCAGAGAGCATTGGCTGGCGGAACACCTTTCATCCATGGCACCAAGAAAGGACAAGTTCAGTTACCAATTGTAGTTGCCTAAGCACCTCCTGTCCCTCTCAAAAAAAATTATAAACCAAATCTGGAGGATGTGGAAACCATTGAGAACCAGGTGTTTGGATGGCATTGAGAATAGCACAGGAGAGGAGGGGAATGTTCTGTCATTGTGGTTGGGTTTAGATCATTTTTCCAAAGGAAACAAGATGGAGAAAGGAACACATTATCTCTGTTGTGATTTGTTGGTTTAATAACCCAAAATACACGC